TAGAGCATACATAAATATTAAAGAACACCAAAGTAGCTGGAAACAATGGTGACAATATGATTAATGATAAGCAACACAAATATACAGCACTAATAAAGAACCATAATTTTCTTTTTGACAAAGTTCATCTAATACTAGAGTAACAACAGTAATATAGTAGAGTGTTGAGCTGAATAACTGGTGTATCATATGCCTGGTTTAACTTTAATGTCAGTTATTCATTAACCACTGTTTTGAGGTGATGCAACACACAGTTTTTCAAGGTTCAGATTGTGATTACTTACTGATTTTTTTTATGTTCTCTGTTCCCAGAATTTTATCCATTTCTCTCATTACTTGTATAGACTTATGTGCAACTAAATAGGTCATTGAATTATCTGACTTCAGGTTTAGCTAACTTGTAATAATAATAACCTAATTGTTCAAACAGGTTACTGTTGATAAGGAGAGAGAGATTTAAACTATAATCAAACTTATAATCAAAGCCATGGAAGCTAATCTCTACATAGGTTTCTGCTCTATAATTCTGTGATAAAATCATGACATTTAAATTCCAACTGAAATAATGACATTGAAAACTCCAATTATAGTATTTCTCAGGGACATCATCTATACTGTCAAACTTCTTGAATGGAGAAGAATGCACAGAAAGTGTGCCAAAGAATTGAAAAACATGATTCCACTAGAACTGAACTAAAATGATTTTGTCATGGTATCCTGAAACATAAACAACTGCTCTTTTCAGCACAGCTGTATGGATCTACTTATTTTTCTTTATGCTTTTTGTAGTCTCAGACCTAGACTGTAAGACCTTCAACTGGCATAAAGAACAAGGCGTTTAATTCCTCATTTTACCAATCTAAGAAAAAAATTATGAACCCTTATTTCCCTTGAAAGTTCATAACCTTTCAAGTAAGCACCCTAAGCCCTGTGTTACTGGTAACATTTGTTCAAGATTTTCTATGGAAATTGTACCAATACAACTAAAATATTTCAAAATTCTTTGGGGGCTGAGGGACCTGCCACCTCTCAGGAGAGTGAATAAAGCATCCATAAGTAAAACTCCAAGGTATATTTTGTAAATTTGTGGTTGAAATCAAAAACCCAAGGTAGATTCATGCATTATCATAAGGCAGCCTTGTTACTGATGCTAAGCTACTCTCTTTCCTGTCAGGCACACATAATGCAAGTTACCCCATGCAAGCAAGCACACAGGTACCATGGAAATAGTCACACAAAATTGGGGTGGGTACCTTTATTTGTTAAATTGCTGTGTTTTACGATGATAAAGTCATCAAGTTACTAGCCAAGCTGAAGGTAGTCCAAGTTCCTATCCTTTATTATATACATGTGATCAATCACATCTTACAGAACCCCCACCAAAACCCAAAACCTAACTTATATGCCATATATTTTTTAAACATATGAAAACACAGCTGATAGAGTACGATAGAATTATGACAGGTTCTCTGTAATTGCATTGTAATAGTCTGTCTCCCTTCAAACTCTGATAGGGCAATGCAAAAAACACAATAAAATTCCTTCTTACATTGCAAAATTAAGTCTCATTTAACAGACAAATTATGTTCTGAATGAGACATAGCCCCTTAAAATAAGCAGCCTGTCTTTCTGCCTGTCAACAGTATCTGTGTTTTCCTTACCACCAGAGTGTCTCAGTACTTTGCACTCTATACCGCGTGAGTTCCAACAACAATGCAATTGACAGTATAGATATTTTCTTTTTAAAGTTTTAAAATTATATCTGAGAGATATAAATACTGGAGATATGGCTGATAGCTATCTCTGATTAAACCTAATCAACTATCTCTGTTAATTCTATTCACAGATAATTTTATTCTGGAATTAGATCACCCACCACTGATGTTAAGAGGAGACAGTTAATCAGCATTAATGTCAGCTTTAACAGCATCTGAAACAACTTTCCCAAGACACAAGATCATTATGAGATCACCTATTTAAAGTCTGTACCATAGAGCATAAACAGAAGGTCAGATTCTCACTGAGCTCTACTACTTGGTAAATTTCTGAGCAATTCATTTTTATCTTTAAAGTTTTCATTAAATTTCTTTGGCCTTTCTAGCTTCTATGGTTGGGTGGATGATTGGGGTTTGGTTTTGGTTTTGCTTTGTTTTGCTTTTTTTGTACGGATGAAGAAAGAATGTCCATGTTTATTTTTAAGAGGAAAAGGAAAAAATCTGTATCAGGAAAAATTCTCTGCTTGATTAGCAATTAACAACAAACCTAAAAGGCTAATACTGAATACATTCAAGAGCATTTTACGGTGTTCCATTTTAATTAGCAGCAAGCGGTCAGTGTGTGTATCCTTCCACCAAAGCAAGTTAAGAAGAAAGGAATATATCCGCATATAAATGAAAAAATCTTGTTAACCCATAAGAATTATAAATATTCCAGTATTCACTTGTCATCTATAGCACTAATAATACAGAACACTTAAGAGTACATAACCATTTCACTGCTAAAAACAAGTTGTTTTTCTACAAATGTTCATTAGAAACAAAGTATCTCTATCTCTAGCATTATTTAGAAATATACAAGTAAAATCTCAGCTCTTTTTATCTTTTAATTCTGACCCTAATCTGGAAAGCAGTTACTCAGAGCTTTTTTCTCCTGTAGATTCCTCCTCTTCCAGTTCTAGTCATATCGCCTTAAGGACACCGTATTCCATGTTACTCCAAGAACTGTACTATAACAAAAAAAATCTTCACAACTGCAAATTATTCCATTATTTTTACTTGCATTTCTATTACATTCTAAGAAACGGTATGCAGTTTCAAAATACAGATTATTCAAATGAACACAGACTAAATGAGACTACTGCAGGAGTGGCAAACATAGAACATTTTCTCTTCCACAAAACTGACACTACTATCGATTTCTTTTTGTGTGTAATGTATTTTCTACTAACACTTTTCTTCAGTATGATTCTAACTTAATCTGGTCAGCACTAAAATCATTAATTTCAAAATAAACATACATGTCAATAATGACATGCAAAACACGCATACATGTGCATGTGTCCATGCAATATAAAATCCCCTCTCATTTGAGTCAAGTATGTGCTTCTGTAAATACAGAAAGGACTACTCTGTGACAGTGACATCTTCTGGTATGGACATATATCCTTCCCAACAACAGACAACTGTTCCAATTATCACCAATCAGAAACTGTTTTAATTATCATCAGGGCATAACTCATAAAAATCTATTCAAATGTCTGTAAGGTTTTCAGGCTTATTTGCTGCTTTATTTGTAAATTAATAACATAAACACCTTTTATATAGTACATTCATTATTTTGATTCTGGTACTTCAACTGCTTAAAAATATATTTTTGTAAAATTCAATTCTCCACAGTAAAAAAACTGCTATTAGTCATAATTGTGTTCTGTCACTGACAGAAGTTAGGTAATCTGCTAATCATTTAAAATGTTATTCCTTCTAAAGAAAATTATAATCCCCCTTAAAGAGAAGGATTAGAGACTCCTAAGGAAGTATAGAAAGAGCCTTAAAGCAGAATCATACTGTTAGTAGACTATGATCTCTTAATTTATGACAGAAAATTATATAGAAAAATGTATGAAAGCAATATCTAAGGATTATGGGTTTTATCTAGAGTGTTTACCACCTTTATATGTGTAAAATTCAACATAAAATGGTTTAGTTACTGTATCTCGAGTCACTGATGATGATCTGATTGCATACTAAAAATCAGTATCTGTGGATTTGGCAATTTTTTATAACCAAAAAGTCTTCCAAAACTACTTTAAACACAGGTACAGGAAAATATTACTCAGACTTCAAGTGAAAGAAAACAGAGATCCTCAAGTCCCAGCAGTACTTACCAGAGCAAACCATTCTAGCACTCCTATAAAAAATAATTATTTTATTGTATTTATTATATTTCTCTCTGTAGAACCTATGATGTAAATACCTTCTGTAATCAAACATGGTAAAAATATGTAGTACTTCACAACTGCTGCCCTAAAGAGCTCCCAGTCTAAATAGAAATACTAAGCAAAGAGCAGGGAAGAGTGGGTAAAACATGAAAGCATATACAGCAAGGACAGCAAACATCATGTGATTAGATATGATTATTTCCTGGCATATCTAGACTGTATCTCATACAAGCATTTCACAACACATGACCACAAAGAAATTAATATACTAGGATGATAATTTGTGAAAGAGATTTCTTTTCATGACGTTTTGCCTCCAAAATAGAAATAAACACTTTAAACATGTAAATACTAAATTAAAAAGTCTGATGAGAGAGACAGATAAAGTAATAGTACATACAGACCCTCACTGGTACAACCAAGGACTGCAATTGATATCTTGAGACTTGCTATTAGGCAAATTAAATGGTTTTAATGATATAAAATAAGGGGATTAAATTTTAAGCAGAAGTATTATAAATTTTTGAAAGACTGTCTTGATTCAATTTATTCTTGCTCCTATATTATCTGAAAAATTACCTAGTAATTCAGCAACTGTATAACATTATAACATATTCGCAACAAAAAAAAAAACAGTAATCTGATTAAATGCATGGGTAACACTAAAAATATCAAATATCCACAAAAGCTTAAACTACAGTATGTGCCTAAAGTGCTAATCCTGAAAAGGTACATACATATGTAGATTAACTGAAATACTCTCATTTGCTGCAGTGTAAATCCTTGGTATTTAAAAAAGGGCATATGTCTAGGTATTTTTCCAATGATGATTATATTTAGATAGTGCTATTTACACTGTCTTTTCTTTTTTCATGTAGAACCCTGTACAATTTATAAGCCACAGGTCTAAATATATATAAAAAAAAGACTAAATAATTATGATAATAATTCCAACTATGTCTGTGCACTCCAGTAACATCAATTGCAGTTGGGTTTATTTTTCCCTATATAGCCTCTCAAAAAGGCTTTCAGGTGAAAAACAAACCCTCCTTTATGTACAGACCTTCATAAGATTCTATTTCCTTGTCTCCATTGTCTAGGAAAAGTAACAAAAACAGAACAACAAAAAAAAAAAAAAGGAACCAAAGGACAGGGGTTAAAAACAACAGAAGTTTCATAAAAGATACAATATACATGTTAAGGATTAAAAAGAAAGGAGTGTATATGGCCATTTAGACTGATTTTGCACAGCACATGAAGTTATCAAGAAGTGGAAGGGTGAAAATGTATATGCTATCAAAAATATATTTGCATACCTCTGTTTCTAGTCATTTTGGAAAATGTCTCCATTGACTAGTTGCTGACTAGTGCTTTTATAAGACATTAAAGATAAGCACAATTATAGTACCACTAAAACATGAATCATGAAATATCTTGCTGATCTCTTCTGTTTTAAAGATTATTATGTCTTGCTCTTCCGGTTTCAAGATGCAGGTTTTATATTAGCAATTGGTAACATACTCCATGTGAACACACAAGTGATCAGCTATCTCCTAACTCCCAAAAGAGCCAGTTTTATCACTAAGCAACACACAAAAGATCATTTCATGTCCCTGTTTAAGTCAGTGACAAAACACCTACTGAGCTCAAAAGGAACAGGACAATGCTAACAGTTAGTCCATTTTGGTTCGTGCGCACTGCACTACTAATTATTGTTGTACTGCTAATGTTTCATTTCAGTCAAGACTACTGTAGATATTCAAACATGATAGAAGAAAATAGAGTACAAAATACTACTATCAAATCCCAATTCAGTACTCAAAAACTCAAGAGATTTCAGCTGTAATGCCCCCCCCCAAAATACAAAAAAAAAGTAATCAACCTTCATGAACAATTTTGCAATGTCATCAAGGAGAAAAACATACACTTACTTCTCTCCAACGTCCCCTTTGGTGGGAGCTGTGGTAATTGCCTGCCCCTTCGCCCTACTACTGGAGTACTTGATGGGCTTGTCTGAACAGACCCAGTTCGAGGATGTGACCTATGAGACACATTACAAAACAAACCATAGCCATTAAAAGACAAATTCATCCTTAAATACCATCAAGAACTGATAACATAAGTAGGCTTTAGATCACTTAGGACCCTTGAAGTCTCATAGTGAAATTAGCATCTCTTTTCAGAATAAGACCTGATTAAAAAGAGCTATCTCTCCAAGAAAAAGAAAAGAAAGCCAAACTAAGGCTGAACATTCATAAGATGTTTGTCTGCATAGTCAAACCAGAAAATGCATTGTGTGTATATTCATGTGCACATGGACATAATACCCACATACACATAAAATTATCCACAAGTTAAATTCAACTATCTTTACTCAGCTTGTATTTGGTTAAATTACCATTGAGTGGCATGAGATTATAGGGATTTGTTTAAACAAAGTAATAAACTGAGAAAATACACTCATAGTTGACTCTAATTCTCACTGGGGATTTGATGTTACTGACTCTAACTTTTAGAAAATAAAAGAATGTATTCTGCAGTACTAAAATAAGGAGAGGTTTTACTGAACATCAACTAGACCGAAATGTACTGATCTTTTTACTATATTATGTTTATTTAAGCTAAGAGTAAAGTATAGAAATCTTCAAAATGTCAATCAGTAAAGTAGAGCACTCAAACAGGAACAATACAGACTATGGCACAGTAAAATGTAATCAGAAAAAATGGTGGTTAAAATGGTAGCTGATAGACAAAGTTAGTACAGTCCATTTAAAGAAACTTAAAAAAAAAAGTTCCATTTGATGTTGTTGTGATGGTTGTTCCATAAGCAATGTCTGATGAACACAAACAATTTCTCATTCTGTAAGAGAAGTGTATGATAGTTATGAGGTGCTTTATGTGGGAAACCATCCAGGATTCCTGACAAATGAGAAATCACAAACAAATGTAGTTAAATACTGTTAGCAAACAATTTGCAATGGCAGCCACACCATTATATCCAGAGTAGAATATAAATAGTGTGTTGGCACTGAAATAGTATCTATCGCTACTAGTGATCAGCTAAGGATGAGGTGATACCAATTAGCTACTGGGAAAATAAAATGGTGAGCTGGTGGGGCAAACGGGAATTAGTCTGATTGATTTGTCTGTTTCACCTCGGTAAGGCAGGTGAAGGAGGGGCAGATCTTCCAGTCATTAATGAAGGCATCGACCTGATGAGGTTTGAGTCAGGACGCTCTGTGGATCGGGAGCGGGAGTTGGTCCGCTCTAGCATAGGACGTTGCTCTGTTGATCTGGATCTTTGATATGGCTGTCTATCTGCTGCTTCACAATTCCTGTAATGTTAGTCAAAAAGCAGCTCAGTTGACCTTTGACTTTTCTATTAATTATAAAATATGCTGCATGATACTGGTTTGAAGCAAATACTTTTGTCATGTACATTTTTATTGGGTAAAATTTCTGAGTTCGCTTCTTGATAACATACAGTATTTTATACATGTATGATTCAGCTTGCTCTGTACTCTTGATAAATGGGCTGAAATGTTTCCAATGTCTCAGTAATGACTATCCATGCAATAGTCTGTACCCTGAGAACTTCTGGGTAAAAATATTGTTATTTTAGAATCATAGAATAGTTAAAGTTGGAAAGGACCTTAAGATCATCTAGTTCCAACCCCCCTGCCATGGGCAGGGACACCACACGCTTTTTCTTATTAATACATCAACATTAGAGGAAAATAACAGCTGACAATATTGAGTCTCACTAAAGCTAACGACTCATTTAATTGTGCAGTTCAATTGAGCATTTTTACTCAAATTACTAGATTTTTACAGACTGTATTATCTTTAGAGTTAGTACTCCTGTTTATAGGAGAGTCCACATTCCAAATGTTATAATTACCATGTAGTACTGTTAACTATCATCGGACTTAGGATGTCTGTCAAAATATAGGCTAGAGTATACTGATGGATTCATAGGCATGCTTGGACTGTAGTCAGATGAAAATGTACAGCATCATTAGTACTTGCAGAGGTTCCACCAACTAGACGAAGTTTGGTTTGTAATAAAAAAAAAATAAATTCTTCTAATCCACAGCCTAATGAACTTTGCCATTAAAAATTACCATTAGAGATGCAACGGGGAAAAACTAGACTGAGTAGAAGAGAATTCCTTGACCAAGCAGTCAAGTCTTTTACTATCTGAGGCAATTAATCATGCCATTACTTTCAGAAATGAATCAAGTCCCACATTTTTTCACAATGTAATTGGGCTGATTGCAAGGAGTAATATTTGCTAGCAATATCCTAAAAAACATAAAATCAAAGTAATTATAAAAGTAAAATCCACACCCTGATGGAGCTACTCATTAAATTCATATTCCTCCCACCTCTCCTTGAGTAACTGAACAGCTATAGAATACAAATGGGGAACATGTACCCTTCAGGACTTCTCCTTGAGTGAAGTCATGCATTTTACAATGAAGCCAGTTAATACAAAGAGTGACTGGATGGTGATTAAATGTAACAAGAAGCCAAATATTAATTAGCGTCAAAAAAGGGACATACCACAGTCTCTCACTATGAAGAGTCTTATTTTATTAATAGCCATTTTTTTTTCAAAACAATGTATTGTGACAGAGTATAGCTGTCTCCAGGGTGGATAACTTTGCTGAACAGGTTGATAAAGATTCATTAAAATGAATGTTTCTTCAGGCCTTCCATGAGGTCTTAATTGGACCCCTAGAGCGTATGAAGGATTTACCACAGACAGGTTCAGAATAATACCATTCACTATGAACCTACATCTATAAGCTCCTAACAAGCAAACACACCACAGTGAGACACATAACGGTAATTATAAGCTGAGGCACTAAAGATTGGAGGAAAAGTACAATGAGCCTGGCACAAAACTACAACAGAATTACCTTGCTTCTTCTTTTATCAGATCTGTTTCTGAATGGGAAGCTTCATCAGCAAAAACATCCACTGTCTCGCTTCTTTTACATTGTGGATAGACAAAAAACAAAACCTTAGCTTTGATACGAATGTTGCTTAATTTAGGTAACTGTTCAAGAGAGGTTTCAGCACTACAGAATGTGAGAAAGGTGTCAGCCCTCTGCTGATAAAAAATGACCACGGTAATAAATTCTTAGACTATGGGAATAAATTCCAAGAATAAAATATTCCTACATTCAATAAAATTACAAATAGAACACAACTGAGGTCCAGACAACCCACCCCTACCCTGTTTACAAACATATTTAAGGAAATTATTGAGCCCACAAAGACCTTCTTTGGGTCTGTCACACACAAAAAGCTAGAACAACCCTTTTACTGCCAGTGAGTGTGGGACTGCTGGAGCACACAGCACCAAGGACTAGGCAATATGGTGAGATGTGTAATTCCATTTTATATTTTTCTCTCCCACAGCGAGTAGGACATAGAAAGGATCAGGTGAGTAGCAACACATGGTTCTTACAAACACTTCATAAGAAGTTAAGCCTCTTTCACTTGTTACTCCTAAGGCTTCATTCACTTCAGCTGTAGTATCAAATGTGTTTCTTAGGATGTTAGGGATATGACCCATTGCCTGGATTAAAAGGCAGAGAGACTTTTCTGCCACTAGGATCAATACTAATGGCTTGGTGGGCAGGTTTTGTATTTTGCAGAGCATCACAGAGCCACTATATCTAACCAGTATATTAACAGATAAAGGCCTCAGAAATTTCATATTCAAGGGGTTCTATAAATCATTTGCCACAATCTGCAGCTGGCATTTACTTCAACTGGAAAAACAGCAAGGAGTTCCCAGAAGTGAAGGAGAACATGGATTTTGGAAGTGAACCCTTTGCTCTTAATGAAGCTTTGGCATCACTGTTTTGTAGACTGAAGTATTTGAAGACCAAGTTGAATCCTAGGTGAAACTGAGTTGTTACCCTGGGCTACAGGCTACGTGATGCAAACCTTCCTGTACTCAGAGCAGCAGAGAGCTGTATCAGCATAGTGGCAATCTTCCACTTGAAAACTTCACTGTCTGGTTCTTGATCATACACACAGAAAGTACAATTCACAGACAGCTTTATTGCCTGTTCTTTGTCCTCACTTTTTTTTTTTTGAAACTTTTAACAGTAAACACATGTGCTATATGATCCAGGTCTTCAGAAACGGACTGTCTCTTTTATAGAGAAAATAACACTCCAATAACCTGCCTGGGCAGGGAAGCTCTTAATCTAGCACAGTATACAACTATCCGTTAGCACCACAATCCAGACATGAATGGGGCAGTTTTCAAAAGACCTTAGTGAATTTAAAAATAGGAGTTGGTAATTTTGAAGATTACATCCTTGAGGGCTTATGCTCCCAAGTTATCTAGATGAAGGTTTCTTCTTTTCTCACTGTAATTCATATGTTTTACTGATTTTTAACTGGAAATAGTCTAAGTTAAATTATTCAATATTCATATGATATTTTAAAGCTGTTTATCTTTGCTAAAAGAAATTAATTATAAAAATGCAGTTAGTGAAATGTCAAATAATGACCTCATTCATTTAGTATTGCCTACAGTAGCATCCTTCTACCTTTGGTATGGGAAACATGCATGGAAGGTGGCCTATTCCCCTGTCAAAGTCTACAAGACTTGTAAGCATAATTCTCCCCTACACTGAGGAAAGAGTACAGCAGTGTTTGGTTCTTAACCAAGCATACCTATCACACTGAAACAGTCTGAAATCTCTTTAAGCCACCATGCACAAAGCTCTGTGAGTATTCACAACCTAATTTTATATACCAAAACCATCAAAAATTAGAATTAGATTCCCATGGTATTTAGGTAGCACTGTAAATTTCTAGTAACTACAGTATCTAACCAAAGGTGTTACTATATTTTGTTTTAGCTACTGATTTATCTGCATTACTCCATATCCATATTCTGGAAATTTCAAAAGCTCTTTTTCCAATGCAGAAAATAACCATTTCTAATTTTTCAGATTTGTTACTTTTCTTAATAAAAAGGAGAATTTTCAACAAAGTAATACATTAAATTATCTAAACTTATGCATAGAGAAAGCCCTTGAAAATATGAACATTTTTCAAGAGTAAGAAATCATAACAGTTTACAACACAAAGTTATTTTTTCCCAATATAACTGAAACCAGTTTATTCAAAAGCCCAAGTCAAATTATTTTACTGTGTGCAAGCCTAAAAGAACAAGGTATGAGTATGAGATCATGCCAAGCACAATTTTAGTACTAGGTTGTTCTTGTAACAAAAAACTGAATAAATAACAATAGAATTACTGTAGGATTATAGTCCACTACAATTCAGCTCCTAGTACATCTTTTTTCATCTAGGAACACTAATCACAAAACAAGTAAAATAGAGCTATACATTTTCTAATTATCATGATTTCAAACTCCAGCTAATATACAGTGGTAATACCTGTCAGTGTCTGTGGATGGCTGCTGGATTTCAATCCTTGGACATGTTATTCTTCTACTAGCTATAGGAACTTTGCTGTTCAGTCACAGACACAAGATCCTCTGTTAGCATAACATAGATAAGCATGTCTACAAACAACTGAGATTTCTAGTAGAAAACAAACTTAAATTCGAGTCATAAATATTGTAATAGAAAATGGAAAAATGGGAAGGAGCAGTATATGGCAAAATATCTAGATAAACTGGTGACTCAATATGTCATCAGATCACTCATCTATACTTACAAAGAAACAATATAAAATTATGCGCTGCTATAGTTTTTAAAATGAAGGAACTTAATGCTTTTAGTCACTCTTGCAAAATAAATAAAAACAGGAAGCAAAGATATATATCTATACACATACTTGCACACACCCACACTATCTAGTTACATGTACATTACACAGTGGTGTATGTGATAACTACAGGTACATCTACATGACAGTCACAGGCATGACTAAACTGTAACGTGCCAGTTTCGGAACTACTTTTCTATCTTCTGACTCAGCTAAACAGCCAAAGCAGAGAACACATCTGCAACCTCAAGCATACTATGCTCCACACACCTACGTGCACTGCCTACAGTGGCAGAAACATAGATGCTTACTGCTTGCTTAGGTATCTATACATGTCTTTACAGTCACTTTGGTGACTCTGTTGTAGACATATCTTACCATGCTAACACATGATTACATAGTAAAATTATTAAAACGTTTAAAGAAAGCACATATAGCTATACCTATAGAGATTTGCCCTTCAAAATATTTCATCGCCAATAGACTTACTGAGGAACAACCCCAGGTTCCAGTATAGGTTGGGGAACGACCTGTTAGAGAGCAGTGTAGGGGAGAGGGACCTGGGGGTCCTAGTGGACGACAGGATGACCATGAACCAACACTGTTCCCTTGTGGCCAAGAAGGCCAAAGGCATCCTGGGGTGTATTAGAAGGGGGGTGGTTAGTAGGTTGAGAGAGGTCCTCCTTCCCCTCTACTCTGCCCTGGTGAGATGGCATCTGGAATATTGTGTCCAGTTCTGGGCCCCTCAGTTCAAGAAGGACAGGGAGCTGCTGGAGAGAGTCCAGCGCAGGGCAACTAAGATGATTAAGGGAGTGGAGCATCTCCCTTATTAGGAAAGACTGAGGGAGCTGGGTCTCTATAGTTTGGAGAAGAGGAGACTGAGGGGTGGCCTTATTAGTGTCTATAAATATATAAAGGGGGAGTGTCACGAGGATGGAGGCAGGCTCTACTCAGTGGCAAACAATGATAGGACAAGGGGTAATGGGTACAAACTGGAACACAAGAGGTTCCACTTAAACTTGAGAAGAAACTTCTCGGTGAGGCTGCCCAGGGAGGTTGTGGAGTCTCCTTCACTGGAGACATTCAAAACCCGCCTGGACACATTCCTGTGTAACATTATCTAGGTGTTCCTGCTCCGGCAGGGGGATTGGACTAGATGATCTTTCGAGGTCCCTTCCAATCTCTAGCATACTGTGTACTGTGAATAGCAAAGCCCTGCTTTAAGTCAGGAGTTACATCTGACAGTTTTCCAAGGTTCTTTCCAACCCAAATTAGTTAATAATTCTATGGATGCAGTCAGAGATTTATGGTAGCTATTACAATAAAATATCCATAAAACTGATGTGTCAGTCCTGGAACAATTAAGACTGGAACTACGTGATGAAATATTTCATATCTCTTTGCCTGTAAAATCAGACACAATTAATTTTGTGTATTTTTGAGGAATAGAAAGCAACTTGTACATTTGTAGGGAAAATGGTAAAATTATGTAAGCAATTTCTTCTTCATAGAAGATCAATATCAAACAAAAAGAAGTGGTGAATGGTTTTGAGAAAAAGGCTTCTTAACTTCCAGTTAACACTATTTGTAACTGATTTTGAATGAAAGCAAAAATAACAAAACAGATAATAATTATTCTTGTTTATTATTAGTAATAACATTTATAATTACTTATAATAATGACTATCATTAATAACTATTACTGGTTATTATTATATCATTTGTTGTGTTTGCTTTCATTTGAATTATTATTATTGTTGTTTAACTTAAATAGTTAAATTTAACTAGTTTAAAAATCAATTTCCACTATTTTATTCATAGGTGATTTCTCAAAAAACGATCCTTGCAGGCTATTATTTCCTTACACAAAAGTGAACCAGTGAATTCAAGCAACAAAAATGTTGCCTTACGTCTTATTAATTTATTTAGTTTGGACTAACTTTATCATATTAACATTTATTCATATTTTTATTCTGTGCCTACAATATGAAATACTTGGAGGTATTCAACACTAATTGAAAAGTCTGAGAGACACAGACAGATTTTTGCTATAATGTAATATGTTAACTGTTTGTTTTAACATTATTTTTCCTGGTACTTGTAACATATATTTTCATTTATATAGCCAGTTGCCTTTTATAGAACCTTGTATTTTGACAACTACTTCCAGCTTTCAGCATCTTTAACATAGACATCCAATTGACACATATTAAAGACTCACACTACAGCAACACTTATCTTGTTCTCATGAGATGACTCACTGAAGATTATTATAAAACTAATTAGTATTCAAAAGCTGGGAACTCAAAATTCTCAAAGAAGAGAGCTGAAAATCGTTTCCCACTCATCCACCCCAGCTCTATTTTATAACTCAATATACTTCTGCAATTTTCTCCAAGATAATAATTAAATTTCAATAAAAATATTAGAAATATTCCAAAGTAGAAGTGTTTCAGCTGTACATTATAACATCACTACACATTTTTTCTCATTTCAGAACACAGTATGTCACCCACTCAGCTTGAATGTTGCATCACAATGTATGAGCAATGACAGGAACATTGAAGGGTTTTAATGAACATGTATTTCATCACAGAAGAGTAAGTGGTATGTAAGACAATGCATACAGAGGTTTGAGAGAGAAGCAGTGAGAGAAGCTCAGCCTTAGGGCTGGAATGTTCAAACACAGTTCAGCAGACCGCGTGGACTGTAGACTAACCAAGTGGATCAGTTGTAGGCTTAAAATTAAGCAGGTACTTATATATGCCTCTGGACAGTGTAGCACTAAATACAAAATTTCAAAAGCACCTGGTTCTTGGTGCTTTTCGTGGGATATTTTTCCTCAGCTCTTAAATCTAACTTTATTTGCACATGCACACTGTATTTAATTGGCCTTCTGTTTTCCAAAAATATTCTGAAAGGCCAATAAGATGGTAGACATTTAATTAGTAAATTGTCACAAATACAGCTTAATACTGCAAATATGTGTTCATCTCTCTTCTGAACTTTTGGCAACAGACCTGTAGTTCTGACCTCACTGAAGTCAACAAGACTTCTGTCACCTGATGAGGCCAGGATTTCAATCAGATCATTCCAAGACAGTTATGCAATAATTCATTGTCTTTTAAGCTCTTAAATTACAAATGAGCAAAATAGCGTACTGTTTCTGTTAAAGGCATTCTGTGAAACCATTGATCTTAACAGAATGTGATCCATTTAAACAGTCTTCATTCTATTCAAGTATGTACTGTGCCGTATGGTCTACCTAAAGTCATACTGGCTCACAACAAATGTGGTTTTACTTCTTTTTCCATAGCTTTTGGGAGCTATTTTTAAATGGGGATAGAGAATAGTAACAAAAAAATTTTCTTTTTCAAGTTAAAAATCTTTTTTATTCCTCTGATTTTTACCTATATTAGCACCTATACAGTACTAAATCTAAGTGAAGTAAATCATAACTATTTAATGTGACTATCAAAGCAAATACAAAACTTTGTTTACACTAAGCACTTTCCAGCCTTCTTCAAATGCTATCCATTTTCAGTATGTTTGGCACTTTCCCAGGAAGAACTAATAAGCACGGCTCTTGCCATAAGCATAAATGAAGTGTATACTTCAAAAACCTAAAATTGAAGAGGCAGCAAACAGAGGCATGCTGGTTCAAAGAACTAGGGAAGAAATATGGTCTGAGAAAGTCTCTGTGGCTGCAATATTGAGCCAAAAGACCCTTACAAACCTCTCTTCTACAAAGACAAGAGAAACTTGCATCAAAATATTAGGGATTAATTCTGGGGTTTTACCATATTTTATTTTTAGTTTCAGGATGACAAAGTCACTTATGTTCTCCTTCAGTCTCTGAGTTCCTTAAACAGAATTCCTCTTTTAGTCAATATATACAGAATAAATATGAATCATAATTCTATTTAAATATTCTTAGGACTGCAGATGAACTATGATTAATCCTTTTCATATATAAATCTTCTGGTTTCAATATATGGTATCATTTTATATGGTTTGTTATATTCAACTGAGTATAGTCTATAGCTTTCAGTGACTTGTTTTAGGTACATAACTATTTCTCCAAAGAGATACATTGACTTTTACCAACACAAAAGAATAAATAAGAACACAAAATTCAAAGTATGGTCAGTAATTAATTTAGTAAAAAGTAATTAATTCCATATTTAAGCAAAATTTACATGTTATTAAATATTTGCACACAATTATAACATTTGAGACATCAACGCATAGTGTTACTTTGTACAATTTCACAACATTGAAATACAGTGTTGTTAACTTCTCAAGGAAAAGTTCCCGGTAACTCTGTGGGAGCTTCACCCAAGAACTCCAGGATTTAATAGCCTTTTGGACTCACACCATATGTTTGTTTGTTTTAGCCAAAACATTCTACAGGCATAGTCCAGCTTCTACTTACAAGATGGGGAAAGGCAGGAAGGAGCAAGCTCTGTGCACATTCACAAAGAAAGTAAGTAAAAATAAAGAAGAAAAATGTTGCAACAGCAAAAAGAAAATGAGGGGGAAGCTGTAAAGTCAAAGATCTAATAGCAAGTTCTAAATCTGTGTGCTCCCTTGATCAGGAGCCAAATGCAGCTGGGAAGAACTGAAGATTGTAAGGCACACAGCACCTTGCATCAGTCACACAGGAAGATAGGTTAGACAGAACTGGGATTACTTCTGAAAGTGAAAAGTATTAGGTCTCAAAGCCACATTCCCAACACTGTGAATGTAGGCAGGTATTATCAATCAAAAAGCCCTTTTTCATTACAGCAGCCCTAAACAGTGAGAACATGCTTCAAAAATAGCTCAAACATAATTAATGTTCTTTTTCTATTTTTAACTGAATAAAACAGCTTAATCCTAAAAAAATGACTAGCACATAAATGTGCCTTAGTCCTGAGATAAGAAAGAAAGATCTCAAGAAAAATATACTTATTAAAAATAACTTTGGTACAATTATAAATGAACTCACATTATAAAGATTAGAAATATATTTTAGCTATATCTGTAAACTACACTCTTTACTTACCCATATTTTTCAGCTGACCCATTGACTACATGATCTGCCCAAGAACTTGCACCATTGTACCACCTTTACAATGCAGTTAAAATAAAGAAATGTTATAAAGAAACATATGTATTGTTAATAACACTCTAATTCATGACACAACCACGTCTCAATAAAATGGGAAGCTTTCAAAATGTTTCCAAAACGATTTGTACATTTCCTATTTTTAATCTGTATCTTTTTTTTTTTTAATTAAAAAGCAGGAAATCTTGATGTATTTCACCCTTATTCTTTCCAGTACTTTAGCTATGAATTTTAGTTCTGTAAAGACTAACTAATCCCTTATCTTTTCTCACACAAAAGTCTTCATGTTTTCAATGTCTGCTGGGTTTGTGGAATAACTAAAAAGCAATTGTGGAGACATAACATTAACAAAATAAACATTCTATGCAACAATAGTTTAAAATACTGATTTTAACTTCAAATACATAACTTTTTCAGATTTTATATTTTTTATAGTTGATAGGGTGGTTGGGTTTTAAAGAAATTAAGAAGAAGAAGAAAACTCACTTCACTCAGATCAGACAATGAAAACTAAATTTTATACTTGCATTACTCTTCCAGGTATTGAACAGGGGCTATCTAAACATTTTCAACATCAATTCAACTGATCAGTTGAAGACAACATAAAAGACATGTAAAATATCTTAAGTAGAATCATTCAGAAAAGAAATAAATGGGACCAAAAAATCTGGTTCCATTTCACAAAACGGGATAAACTGTTTATGTGCCATTACTCCAGTATATTAACACTATATATAAATCATCAAAGATTTGGTTAAAGAGTTTCAACTGGATACGTATTTTCATGATCTTGCTTGGGTAAAGTGTTGGAACTGCAATAGCGCTACTATTCAGGATTTCCACATGACAATGAGTGAGAAGCAAGGCAGTGATTTTCAGAAGAGATCAAGAGACCACTGTTTTATCAGCTTGGATATAAATCTTCCTTTGTCTGAATGGAAATACTACCCAAAGTCTGCAGGATGAACATTTTAATGGCTTGAATATACTTATCCAAAGTTTTTCATGAGTCTGTTCCTGGGAATCACAGCAGTATTTTTTTCATGACTCCATTTTATTCCAAACTTCTCAGATTTCAGAATCTGACATTTTGCAATGCGTTATCAAACTAAATAACCCCACACCTCCTGGTCATTATGTTGAGGGAAGACAGCATGGAGTGCGGTATATGTGAAAGTCACTCAGCTGCTCTTGTTTCTCCTACATCAAATTGAATAGGATGGGAATGGCTTTTTTTTTTTTTTTTTTTTCCCCATGGTCTGTAGCCAGATCAGTTACTGGATGAAAGTTACTTTAGTAGCTGGAGAACGACAGGTATATGTTTACACACTCCCTGATCATCAGTATCCTTAAAACAGAAGCCAGGCTCTCCAGTTAGCCAGCATTTTAAGTAAGATTCTTTGGTGAAAGCACTTTATTATAGATACCATAATACATAGCATGGTTTTAAAAATGCAGTGCACTTTATTTTTTGTGAAATGTGATTGTATTTATTCATAGCAATCAAATAAAATTTCTCGCTATTAGTTAAAAAATAATCCCTGCCTTATCAGCTCCCATACTGGAGCAAAAAACAGACAATGACTTAAAAATGGACAGAGAAATATAAAAGATCTGATCGTACAATGAGAAAGGAACATCAACTTGCTTTTTTTCATATTTCCTTCTTTTTGGACTTTGCCTATCTTTCTGAAGATGACATGCTGTGCTGTCATCAAATAACTATTTCCAGAGACACTCCAAAAGTTTTCATATTACATATCAGAATTTAATTCTATTGTGATACACTATGTGCATATCGAAATTTTGGAAGAACAATAGTACTTTTGATCCTAGAACAGCATCACCCAAAATTGATTTGAAGGCATTCAGTTAGTCCTTTTTTAAGTCAGTAGGAGCAGTAACATATCAAAAGCTGAGGACCTTCTGAAGTGACTCAGGTTATTAAAAGAATGAAATAGAGAATTCTAAATTGTCCTGTAATCACCCTTAGTGGTGGGAAAGTTAGCCATTAGAAATACACTGCAGTTAAGTAGGAAAAAACCTTCAGTTGTACCTAGCTCCTCTGTACTGTTCTGTTTTCCTCCCACATCTTATGAATAAAAAAATACGAAGTCAAGGTAATGCAGAGCTAAAAGAAAATTAAGCACTTAAAACCATGGAGATTAGTTGCTCTGTATAGAGAGAAATACTTCATAAAGTGCACTGTAAATTTAAACATCATTAGTCTAGTCCAATTAAAAATTTTAGACCACACTTCAGAAAAAATGTATTATTTAACGTTATCTATTTTTACTATATAAATTAAAATACCTTTCAGGAGTATAGGTTGTGTCGTCATAATATGAATTAGGCACTCTTCTCTCCTGCCTAGTCCTCCTGAATACAGAATAAACAGCACAGATATTTAGGACATTTTAAAGACTGCTTTTCCCGTATGTTTTCCCTCACTCTATTATTAAGTGATGAATTTAGAGCACATTCATCTACAGTTCAGCAGTATATTCTGAATGTATATTTATATATATATATGTCATTTTAAACTTCTACTTTCAAATTATATTCAGAAATAATTAGCGTACTAAGAATACCTGACCAAATACACACACATTTCATAAAAGTGAAAAGTAATATCAATAGGAAAATTTGAGCAACTGTGAAATTCCAAAAATAGGATATGTTAGAAAAATTCTAACTGGCAAAACAAAAGTCAGAAAACAAAATGAAAGCAAAATTCTGTTTCTTTAAGTGAAGCAACAAAAATTCTGTCTGAAATAAACCTCACATCCAGCCAAAATGTGCACAGCCCACTTTTTATTGACTTCCAAACACTAACTTCAATGGCTAAGAAAAAAGAAGTAGCCCATAATGTGGTTTTGTCAGTGACTAAGCTGAGCTCCAAGACAGATAAATAAGTTGTGAAAAAAATTTAATACAGCGAGGTTTTCATCAGATTTTTATTTGGGAGGAACTCCTGAGTATTTTAATTTTTTAAAACAGTTTGGATAAAAACCTTGAGAACATTATTTTGCCACTGAGTCCACGTGCATGTCATCCAATCTAAAACGCGTGACTCTCAAATTATTAACTATCCTGCATAACTCTATAGGATTGTGAATTGGTGGATAGAAATAAAAGCTTAAGTTCTACATGTCCAGCCATAATGTTTTATGTATGTTCAATCTGAGAAGCTGCAGCAGTGTGAAGTGATATCAGGTAATGCACCTACTACCATGCTAACTATCACGTTAAGGTGTCAAAGAAAATTGGAGTGGGGTACTGAGCAGTAAGGTGCTCTTGATAAAGCCCCAGGTCCAAAGGACACTAAAGTCCCCGAAGCTGCACATGTGCCTATCGTCATTCTAAGGCATACAATTTCAGTGCCACCTCCATTTCTTTTGGTAGCAAAACAGCTGGACTTCTTCAAGAGGGGGTGCACTACACGAAGACAAAAATTATGAGTGCCATAGCCTAAGAATAAACTCAGAAATTAAGGTTTTGATAACATAAATGTGACCTAGGACTAATGAATTAAAGATTACCAAAACTGATAAACAGAAACTGAAGCAAACTTCAGCAAAGATGAAAGAGAACCAAGTAGTCACACTACTGTTCCCAAGAAGTGGGGAAAAAAAAGAAAAAAATCTTCAGACCACAAGAGTTAATGGGCTGGCTGTGAATGACTACAGGAAAGTGACAAAAAGAATAACAAAGTTGGCAAGTAATTTTGCCTGCTGTATCTATATGACATATGTGCCTGCAGGACACCCACACTTGTGGATTCACAGCGACATAAGATACATAACTCTTTGTCCCAGATGACAGACCTTTCCCTGAATGCTGGACTTTGTGGAACAATGTTTCCTATTTTGATGAACAGTGAAAACAGGAAAGTTATTTCCAGTGCTTCATAAAGTGAAAGTAAAAGACAGAAAGAGAGGTGGTTGTTTGACATCAACATGACACTGATTAAGCAAATGGAACTACAAAGACAGGACTAATACCTTGACCAACAAAAATAATGTAATTAAAAGTAAGCATTAAACTGGGAAAAAGTGTGAAGATAAATAAGGAAATACTGTTTAAAAAGTAATTTTTTATATACTTCCAATACATAAAGTAAGGAAAAGGAAATTACTTAGTATTTTTCAGTGGATAAGGAGGAACTGAATAAGGATTATGCTTTAAATGGTCCTTAAAAACCTAGAGAACTGTTGTTAGAATACGGAAAGACAAAAAAGATGAAAAATCAGAAAAAATTATAGTGGCTCTGATGTACTCAGAGTAGTTTGTATTCAGTAAGATGACTCAACTTCAACACTAATGTTGCCCACAGGCAGACTGGATTCAAGTGGACCAGAGAATCAGTATCAGATCCTAGGCCCAAGGAATCTCAAGATGCTGCTCTAACAGTGAGCTAGAGATGTTCCACTTTACACTGACTTTTCTTTTCTGACCCCAGGAGGAATTAGCTTTAATATCCTTGTCTTCAATAAAGCCCTAGAAAGGATTTACTCCATCTCACAGATAGAATCACATTTTTTCATCTTTATGTAATACTGACACTTTTGCCCTTTATTTTAATTGATTTTACTTTATTTTTGGGAAATTAGTGTCTGTAGAAACAAAGATTAAGTTTTGCAAGTCAAGATCCTCAAAGTAAGACAATTTGATAATAGCTCCAACTTTCAGCAATACCTGAATAATCAGATACAGCCAGAAATTTGAAACAGGTTCAGATAAACTAATGCAAATATAAGTATATAACTAAGGCAAAAAACAATATATAAAAATTAATTATTGAAATAGCATACGTATGAGCATATTTTGTCACATAATTTCTGAAAACTAACAAAAAATCCCTCTCCTTATTAAAGTTTCAGCATGAAGACTGAACTATTTACACACGTGTGTATTGGTTTCATGCGAAACAGCATAATTTCAAAACAATTGTTAAACTTAGTTCTAAATATTATAATGTCTATTATACTATAGCTGTGGAGAATTTCTAAAAACCAATACTTCTTTGGAAGGAATACTGACATGATACCATAACAGTTAAAGATTTTTTTTGTTTCTTGTTAATAAGTTTTATACTTACTAAAATGATGGCTATGTTTGATCTGAATCCAGAGCAAACCTTAACAAACTTCTCAGAACTTATATCCAAAGTGCAGTCACTAAGTTAATATATCAAGAATACTTTAGCTCTTGCTATGGAAAATTTTAAATGGCTCTTCTTGTAAAACTATAGCCATATCAACCATTACATCTGCTATTTCAGATCTGCAGCCACCACTTCCTTTTTACTGGCTCATAGTTTATCTGATTGATATCCTTATATCTATTCCCACACAACCATGTCAACTTTTTCCTGGTTTGCAATATTTCTGAAAATATCTTAATCACAGTACACCAACATGTCTTGTTACATCTCTTCAAAGCCACTGTATTTCATGTGTAAGTGCTGCATAGGAATTATCACAGGCTCAAATTCTCTCTGCTATATTCCATATGTTCTGTAATAACACACAGGTTATTGCCTGTATTGCAAATGTATACAAATGTATAAAAGTGCTCATAAATTACAGAATAAGCAGAATACAAGTATCTACAACAGAAGCTTGTACTTTTACTTTTCACACAAATTTTCAGTTAAGCAAAGTATGAGATTTCTAAAAGACCATTTTCCTGTGTACTTTGAAGTAGATAGGCTTTTCCTTATTATTTCGAAGAGAATAATACGTACCATAAGCAATTTGGAAAATTCTAGCAAAAATCAGGGTTATACAAAGACACTTACATATAATATCCATACAACTTACTTTATGAAACTGGCTTCTATAAAGCTATTCAGCTTCTCCTGGTATTTGCTCATAGTCCTGAGTAGTCATACATGCTCACAGAGTATTATAAACCATCCTCAGTATATGTGCTTAGCACTTAAAACACAGATCATATTCTCAGTTTGGAAATCAAACACAGTACTGTCAAAGTGTAAGTGGCAGAGCCAACGAGATGCTCCTTATCAATTATACCTCTCAAGGTCATAGTAAGCACCCTCAGAATAGGTACGGCACATCTTACGGGAACGAAGTAATCTGATTGCATCTTCACAAAATAGAGGATACATTGTGTGATCCTGGCTGCCAAAAAGTAAAGGGTGAACACAATGAAAAGCAACACAAAGATGAAATAAGAAGAAAACAATAAGAAAAGCAAGCAATGTCAGCAACGGAACAAAACACTGGAACAAAACTCAGCTGGAAGTTTGGGGAACTTTGCAAAACTATTTTTAAAAATTAAGGTATTTTGGCCTGCAGCTAAGACTATGAGAAAGGTATCATGCTCCAATTTTATCTGTCACTTTAATACGGCCTTACATGTATGGCATAGTGTATATGAAAATCACAGTATTAGCAGTTATTTGTGTATTGATTTTAATATTTTTCTTTATTGACATTTTAAAAGACATCAGAATGATGTAAATATAACATCATCTTCATGGACTACCAATTACAGACTACTGGCAGCAAGAAAATGTTTAAAAAGAGAAACATACGATGAATTACCCAGTGTTTGCCTACACACTGTATAGAGAAAGCTAATGCTGATATTGACACAACACTTCTAAGTTTTCTAGCACTATACACAGACTAATATAACCAGAAGTGGACATGTAGGTACATCATAGAAGTACATGCATTATCCACACAGAGTCACACAGAGAAAAACATATACCTGGCATCTCTGTAATGGTGATCTGTGGACTGGGTGTACCGGGAACGAGGCAAAGTAACATAATGACTGAGTCGATGGCAGAAAGGAAAATAAAAATATGGGAGAGTAAGATGGAGAAGGAATGATGCACATCACACAACATAAGACATACAAATCTGAAAATACGGGAGCTACAAAAAAAAGCATTCTGTAGAGCAGACATTATTAACAAAATTAGAAATCTGATACACAGTTCTAAAGATAAAATTATCTCAATGATTCACATGTACATTGTAAGAACACAGTGGGACACTATGGATCAGATAGCTAGAATTTGTGATTTTCTATGTTTCAGTTAGTTAGGAGGACAAAACATATAAATCTCTGGAAGCAATCTCAAGAAAGCAATCTCAAGAAATCAGATTGCCTGTTCTCTTGCTTGAAGGCAGTGATAACTTCAGTATGAATAAATTCTTTGGCAGAGGTTTGCCTAGTCCGTCTGAATGGTTACCGCAACAATTAGGAAATCTGTCCCTACAGAGCTAGCTCCAGAGCTTTCCCATTTCTGAGTTTTCCTAATATTTATCCTATCGTGATAAAAGGTGAACTTAGATGAAAGCCTTGTTACTACTTAAGTAATAAAGAGATATAACTGTAAC